AATCGGGATGGGTGTGTCAGAGGCGGTGCGGTTGGCGCAGGATAGAGCAGGGTTTAGAGCTGTTGTGCATAGGGTTGCTATGAGTCGGAAACGACTCGATGGCACATAACAACAACAACAACAAAATCTTTTTGGACGGTCAGTTTTGAGTTGACTTCTACCCGATTTTTGAAATCATTGTTACAGCAACCACTTTCCTTATATGGGTGAGAAAACTTTGTTTGCAGAACACAACCGTGCTTGCAGAACGTGAAAAAACTTACACTTAGTGAAGAACAACAAACCCTATGGCCTTAATATGGCTTTCCACTCAGTGTCAGGAAAACAAAAACTCCTGTAAGTGGACTGATAAGTAGCAACATGATAGAGAAGAGATTGAAGTTGTCAGTGAGTTCGTTTTTGTTGGATACACATGGTAGTGGTCAGGGAATCAAAAGACCTGTTGTATTCGACAAATTTGCTGTTAAGGAACTCTTTAAAGTGCTCTAGAGCCAAAATGTGCATTTGGGGACTGAGGTGCACCTGAGGCAAGCCAGGGTCTTTTCAGTTCCTTTGCATGTGAGCATGCAAAGAATTATTCACCTCAAGTTGCAATACTTAGAAATGCTATGGGCAAAATCTTGAATGATCTAGGAAGCATCAGAGGTAGATGAAGAATCATTGTACTGAAAAGAATTAGATGACATCGAAATATCTCAGGAAGTACCAAATGATCAAGAATCAATGGTTTTGAATGAAAAAATTCAAGCTGCAATGAAAACATTTTCATAAAATAAGGCCCCAGAAATCAGTGGGATGCCAGTTGACATGTTTCAGATCACAGAAGCAGCACTTGACATGCTGACCTGTCTATGTCAGAAAATTTGGAGGACAACTGCCTGGCCAACTGACTGGAAGAGACCCATATTTGTTCCCATTCCCAACAAAGATGATCCAACAGAATGTGGAAATTATCTAACAGTATCAACAGTATCATTAATGTTATACTGCTGAAGCTCATTTAAAAAACGACTAGAATAGAGTACATAGAAGACTGCCAGCTGGATTTAGCCATTGCTTATGTTAGATAGATCCTGATGAAAAAGAATGCCTGTGTTTTAGTGACTATGCAAAGGCATTTGACTGTGCCGAACATAACAAATTATGGCTAACACTGAGAAGAATGGGAGCCCTAGACACTAAATTATGCTCATGTGAAACCTGGACCAAAACCAACAGGCTGTAGTGCGAACAGAACAAAGAAACACTGAATGGTTTAAAATTAGGAAAGTTGTGTGTCAGGGTTGTATCATTTCCCCATACCTATTCAATCTATGCTGAGCAAATTACTCAAGAAGGTAGACTGTAAAGAAGAATGTGGCATCAGGATTGAAGGATGATTCATCAGTAACCTTCATTATGCAGATGATGCAGCCTTGCTTGCTGAAAGTGAGGAGGACTTGCCACCCACCCTTCAATATGTATTAAATCTCAACATCGAGAAAACAAACATCGTCATAATAGACGAAGAAAAGATTGAAGCTGTAACATCATCTTATTTGGATCTAGAGTCAGAACACTTGGTACTGGCAGTTAGGAGATTAAGAGTCATATTGTACTGGGAAAGCCTGCAGTCATGGACCTTTTCAAATTATCAAGGAGCAATAATGTTGAGAAGTAAGGAATGCTTTATTCAGGCCATAGTCTTTTCAAGAACTTGCTGTGCTGCTGGGAAATGGGTAGTGAATAAGGATGGCAGAAGAATTAATGCCTTTGCACTGTGGTGTTGGAAAAGAGTACTAAATATCCTATGGACTGGCAAAAGAACAAACAGATGTGCCTTGAAGAAGATACAGCCAGAGTGCTCTTTGGAGACAAAGGTGGTAAAGCTCTGTCTTACATACTTTGGGCATATTGCTAGGAGAGGCTATTTATTGGAGAGGAACATCATACTTGGTAAGGGGGAGGGATAGCAAAAAAGAACAAGACTCTCAACCAGATGAATTGACACAGTGGCTGCAGGGATGGGCTTGAGTTTGTCTGAGATTGTGAGGATGGCACAGGAGAGGCCAAATGTCAGATATGTTGTTCAGAGGGTCTCTATGAGTCGTACCCTATAGCACCCAACAACAACAGCATGCATATGGAAGTTGGACAGTGAATCAGGAAGACCAAGGAAGAATCAGTACCTTTGAGTTGTGGTGTTGTAGAGTTTTGAATATGGACTACTGGAACAATAAAAAAAGATTTGTCATGGAAGAAGTATAAAGAGACGTAAAGATAGTGAAATTCTGTCTCATATACTTTGGGCATATTGTCAGGAGAGACTAGTTCTTTGAAAAATAGGTCATTGAAAGAGGAAGAGGAATGAAATAGATTGACACAGTGCCTGCAAAAGGGGTCATGAGTATGACAGAGATCATAAGGGTGATACAGGTTGGGGCCAAATATTGATCGGTTTTTTTATAAGGCCACTAGGAGTTCTAGCTGAGTTGACAGCACCTGATAGCTAACAATCCTATAGTTGCTGTGGAAAACAGTTTGACATTTCCTCAAAATATGAAACAGTACTATACTATGACCCCCAACAATTTCATTCTTGGATGCATATCTTAGATATTTGAAAACTGCTACACAAGCAGGTATGTATACATCAATGTTTGTTGCAACACTGTAAAAGGAGCAAGAACATGGGTATTACCAATTCTGACCTCTGCTAACTAAATGTCGATAGTTATAGAAAGGCTTCAGGCCTTTGATTCATAGTGTTGCTATGAGTTGTGCTCAACTCAATGCAATCAACAACAAAAACAAATAACTTGATAAAGGGGAACAGTCCCTATTATCATCCACAGTGCAAAATTGAAAGCTACAACGTTAGACATGGTTTCCCACACTTCCACACCCATTTTCTCCTATTCCAACACCAATTTTACTAGTTAACAGGATCTGAAATTCGTTGCAATGACCACGCAGACTTTGTAATACCATACCCATGATTATGTGATTTGAGTTGGAATTTATTAGGGAAGTCAGTCTGTTACAACGCAGGATAGCAACATGCAACAGTACACAATCAATAACCTTACAGTATGTTGTTATGTGCTGTCAAGTCACTTGTGACTCATAGTGACCCTATGAACTACTGCCCTAAACTCTGCTCTGTCCTTTGCCAATTGCACTGTCTCCGATACACCCATCCCAATTACCCCAGTCACTGAATCATTCCACCTCATAGAGGGCTTTCCCCACTTGTGCCACCCCTCCATCTTCCCAAGCATGATGTCCCTTCCAAGGACCGGTCCCTCCTTATAACATGTCCAAAGTATATCAGACGAAGCCTCAGGATCTTTGCCTCCAAGGAGGAGCACAGTTTAACCCTCTCCAGGATGAATCTGTTTGTTTTCTTAGCAGTCCTTGGTACCCTCAATACTCTTCTCCAGCACCACGGCTCAAAGGCTTCAACTCTCCTTCTGTCACCCTTGTTGTCATTGTCCAACTCTCTGATGCATAACAATGATTGCAAAGACAATGGCCTGTATCAGATGGCACCTTAGTCTCCAGAGAGACACCATTGAAAACCCTTTGTACAACAGAACACATGTAGAATAACAGAAAGGGCAACTGAGTTGGAGCTTTGAAGTGTGGAAATACAAAGGAAGAGGAACAGTTGTAAGCACACACTAGTGACTGGAATATGGAATGTGAGAACCATGAATGTAGGAAAATTAGATATTGTTAAGAAAGAAATTGAAAGCATAAATATTGACATACTAGGCATTGGTGAGATGAGATGGACTGGCATGGGACATTTTGAGTCGGATAATCATATATTACTCCAGAGATGAAAAGGTGAGGAAAAATGGGATTGCTTTCATAGTTAGAAAAACCATTTCTAGATCTGTCTTGAAGTACAATATTGTGAGTGACAGGATAATAGCCATACGCATACAAGGAAGTCCAGTGAATTCCACTATCATTCACATATATGCACCAACAACCAGAGCCAAAGAAGAGGAAGTAGAAGTTTTCTACCAATTTTTACAGTCGGAGATCGAATGTACAATCAAGATGCACTGATAGTAATGGGTGACTGGAATGCAAAAGTTCGGAACAGAGAAGATTCAGTAGTTGGAAAACATGGACTTGGTGACAGAAATGAAGCTGGAGATAGAATGATTGAATTTTGCGCAATGACTTATTCATTGCAAATACATTTTTTAAGAGACATAAATGCAGGTTATACACATGGATTTCACCTGACAGTATGCATAGGAATCAGATTAATTACATCTGCGGAAAGAGCTGCTGGAGAAGCCTTAGAGTATACAATCAGTAGTCCCTCAGTTCAGGCAACATTAACAGGCTATTCAGGTTTGCAACAATATATAATAACCATACCATCTCTTAATCTTCCAGCAAGCTTGAGTGAAGGATTTTGGCTCTGGTTCCATGGAAGAACAGTCCCAAGTCAAATAGATCCCAAGAAACTATTTACTATTTACTATTTAATATCAAATCAGACCAGTATCACTGCTTCCAGCCCAGACAACTACTTCTCATCCTCTAGCACGCTTGGGCTAAATCAGCAAGTCATGCTGCTGCTCTCGTGTTGATCTGCTTCCCCTCTTCTGAAGCTGCCTTGCTCTCCTGAAGCTCCTGGTCTGAGGCTCACATGGCAGTTTGGGCCACGTCAGGCAAAGTTGAGGCAGCTGAATGAGGTTAACATGCTTGTAGGTTAGATAGAGTTGAGGCAGCTGGGTAACAGTGGTCTAGGAAAGCTATTTTAAGCAACAAAATGTGATAGCAACAGACATACCACACTGAAAGCAGTATTCACAAAAGTGGACTTAAATGTCCACAAATAGGCCAGTGGTTAAACAAAATACATGCTCATATCCCCTGCTTTTCAAAAGTTTGCTTGTGCTTTATTTTTCTAACATGCTTTATTTTAGGTTTTATGTATTAGTTGGCATGATTTCATAGGTTTTTTTTTAATCTGAAAATGCTAAAAAATTTTTCTTACGCAAACTCATGGTAATTGTTTTTTTATTCATGCCATCTTAATAAAGGTTTGATAGAGCAGCTCTACTGTATATTAGCAGAGTATACTTCTATACACATAAAGTAGAATGTACCATAAATAATAACAGTCATAAAGAGACAAGTCCCGATGCACGCTACAACACGGATGAACTTTGGAAACATGTTTAGTGAAATCAAAGGACAAATAACTATGTGATACCATTTCTTTGAATTAGTAAAATGGTCAGATGCATGGAAACCAATGTTTATCAGAGATTATCAGATGTGAAAGAAAGAGGAAAAGGCAATCTGTTGTTTAAGAAATGACTATTTATGATAGTGCAAAATTTAATAGTGGTACGGATAGTTGTACAGCAGGATTAATGTAGCTGATATTACAGAAATGAACACTAGAAAAATGTTGAATTGGTTTCTAACTATGTGCCTTGGGATTGGCAGCACAGTTCTTTATCACTAAGCCACCAGAGCTCCCTGTTTTTCTTGTTATGTACTGTCACCTTGGCACTGACTCATAGCTGACCCTGTAGCAGGTTTTCAGAGGCAGTTAATCAGTCACACAGGAACTTGCCCATCCTTCTCCTGTGGAGTATCGGATAGATTTGAACGCCTTTGGGATTATAATGCAGCTTCTTATGACTAGGCCACCAGAGTCTCCTATTGAATTATTAGTGGTTTTAAATAATATGATAACTAGAAGTTCAAAGGCACTAGATAAGAAATTAAGTTCCTAGGTACCCCACAGTTTATGTATGCATTAAAATAAATCTTTTGGAAAGTATTATATATAAAAGCTTTAGGGCAGTTCTTGCTCTTTCATTCGTGACTGATTCCTTCTATCTTCTAAGATAAAACATTGGAGATTGAATCCACTTCTTGTATTTGTCTATTTTAACAGTAAATTTCATATCACATATCTATTTCAGGGAAAAAAATAAGATTGTTTTGTATATGGATTTATAGAGTATATGAGATAATCAGTTTTCTGAATTATTATAGATAACTCCTTTAAATATAAATTCATGGTTGCTTATTAGGATATTAGGGATTTTAGGATTCCAAGTATCCTAAGCAATTTGAAAAAATTGCCCTAATGTTCTATTAGAGGCATTTTTGATGTATGTTAGTTGTAGCTAGTTCAAAGAGCTGATAGTGGTATGTGTTGTATCTGCCTTTTTCTATATTTCTCTTAGCAAGATAGTCATCAATTTGATAGTGTGCCAGTAAAATGATTTATACAAAGTAATTTTTTTTGTTTTTATATTGTCAACTGTTCTCTTTAATACATACCTTGGTTTCCATTTTTCTCTCTTAGAAAATATTAGTCCAGAAGAAGAATATAAAATTGCTTGCCTCCTCATGGTCTTTGTGGCAGTTTCTTTGCCAACACTGGCTAGTAATGTAATGTCGCAGTACAGCCCTGCTATAGAAGGTAATAGGGATTTTAAATTGTTATGGCAATGGAAAATGGGGTTTGATATATAAATATGTGTTGTGTAATTGATGTTTCTTTTACAGTACAATGTGATTTAAGTTTCCCAAGTTACTATCTATGTGACCTTGGGGAGTCCATTTCTTTCTCTAAGCTCTAACTGATGATACTTGAGATGTTCATATGCGAGTACACAGATGTGCTTGAGAATATCTCATGTGCAGGATTATTTTAAGAACTGAATGAGTTAATAGATTTATAAAGCAATGAAGAGGATTTTTTTCTTTTTTAAATTCCCAAGACATTATGAAATTATGTATTAATTTAATTTCAGGATTTTTGTGTTTACTTGCTTAATACAGGCATACTGATTTGTTACTTTCGTACTGCACTATTTTTAAGCAAAAGAAATTATTATAGCCATTTGGCTGTAGTATTCATGAAAGTGAAAGGAGAGCCGTGCAGGTCATGCTGCCATGCCTCTTTTTAATCATGCCACTTTTTAAGTAGATTATAAAGTCATTATAATTTGTTCTCCATTAATTATATGTTATTGTGGAGTAAAAACCCCAGACAAATCTATTTGTGCTTTCTCAGGGCACTGCAACAATATACATTGCTTGGCCAAAGCCATCAACCAGATTGCAGCAGCTTTGTTTACAATTCACAAAGGTAGCATTGAAGACCGTC